TGATAAATTAATGTCTCAGTTTTACACGAGATCTGACACACATAATATATTTACGTAGAAAAATCCCGGAAAGAAAAAAATTGCGCGGCCTAACTTAGTAAAAAATAATTCAATGTAAGTGTCCAAGTCTAAAGATATTTCCATTTTCTCGCGATACAATTTTTCGTTGGATCTTTTGGTTTTCGGGATGAAAAATTCTATAAATAATAGCTCACTTTACTCTTGTGATCAATATCATACATTAAAATTTTTTTATTATTTGATAATTAATATCTTATTTAAATGGAGACTAGGAACAATCCTTTGGAAGAGTGATATTATAAAGGAAAGAAAGGTGAAAAGCTAATTAGTTTGAATTCAAAATAATTGTCATAAGCTATTCGGTTTATTTTAGTGGACTCATTTATGTGTTGCAAATTGATCAATGAGTTTATAGTCTAAATGATCAAACTATATACAAATTTGTTTGTGTTGTAAGATGATTATAATTAAAAAATAATAATTGTAACAAATGTGGTGGTTTAAACAACTACAAATCATAGAAAAAAATACATTTCTCCTACAAATTTATTCATAAATCACTATTCGAACTTTTTGTGTAGAATGACAGCGCAGTTTTATAACCACTATTGATTTTTAATTTTTTAAGTTATTATTTGTTATGGTAAATTAAAAAAAAAAAATTTTTTTTAAAACATTTTTAATATTTTAAAGGTAAAGTTTTTAGATTTAATATATTTTATATTAATATTTGTTTTAAATAAATCAGATTAGAAGCTAATGAGGCGAGTTGAGGCTAACTTGAACTTGGCTTGTTAGCTTTTTGAGCTCAATTCACGAACCACTTATTGAGCCAAGCTTGAGCTGGCTTACAATTGGATGTGACTCACTTGCATCCCACATTTTAAAAACACGAGCGAAACAGGCCGATTCAACTGGTTCTATCGTGAACCGGTCAGTGGTACAATTCTGGTAGGGCTGAAAAACGGCTCTACATCGAATCAGAAAGAACTGACTGGAACTGACAGTTGAATCGGTCAACCAACTGACGTGTAACTTTTTATTTTATGCCATATTTTTATTGAGAATCATAAAAAATTGTTTGAATCTTTTGATATCATCAAGAATGTGCCTTGCTTTAATCATTCTCAGCTTCATTTTCATTTTTACCTTTTGTGAATTTGCATGACTATTTGTCTATTAACTTTTCTTTTTTATTATTTTATATTTTCTTAATTACGCTTCCCTCTTGTTGACTTTTCATACTGAATTTCATCTAATTTTTGCGTCCTTCAAATTATATTTAATATTTTTTTCTTACATTTATGATGTTTCCCGGCTCAACCTCTGATTTAACCCCAGTTCAACCTTTGAACCTTAAATCAACTCATCTATCGGTTTAATGTCCGATCCGATTTTTTAAACCTTGCTTACACCCCTAATCAGAATAACCAAACAATTGAAAATAAATTAAAACCAAAATGATCCAAATTGTAACGAGAAACCCTAACTCTTATGTTATGTATTCTTAAACTGAAAATCAAATTGGAACTGAACACTGGTTTTTATTTAACTTGATTTACTTTAACAATGTTTTGGTTATGATTTCCTGTTTAATTTGATTGGTTTGGTTTAATTTTAAATAAAGCTTGGATTGACACCAAAGTGATCCTTGCATTCTCTAATAATGAGTGAATGCAAAGAAAATTTTTTTGAGATCTTGACATTTGATATGATTTATTTTTTCTAAATCAAATTCTACCAATTTCTTATGTATTTACATGTCAAAAACATGAAATTTGCTTTTTATATTTATACCACCCAAATCTTTTGTATCATATAAGAAATGCCACCCTTTTAACTCTTAAAAAATAAAAATGAGATACACCTTTAAATGTAAAGGTAAGGTGACATATATGTAAAAATTGAGTTTACTAGTTGGTTATGTAAAGCATAAGAATTGAGTTGTATGTGTGCAAGGATCTTTTTTGGGGCAGCGGTGCGGTGGCGATGCTGCTTCACACCATAATTTTGTCTGTTTAAGTAAATTACATTTTGACAGCTTTTTCAAAAAACTATCGCTAAAATCTGCGTTTTCCCGCCACTCATGACTATGTGCGGTTGTAATTTTTTAGCTGCGGACTGATTTTAAAATAAATAAATAAATTTTAAATAGCCACCGCAGTTTTTTAACATCAGATTATTATACAGCAGTTTCACAGTTGTTTTCAATAAGTTTCAACTGTCCCAAACAGATCCTAGATCTTCCTTATTTGTAATGTTTGAATAAAAATCTACTTTGCTTGCTATTTAAGGATAGTTTAACAAAAAAAATTAGAGAGTTACTAAACAATCTATTGTTATGATACTTTTTTTTTTCATTGTGGTAATATTCATACGTTTTGCAAATTTATGAAGATATCATAGAAAGATAAAAATGATACCATAAGAATTATTTGCTGAGAGTTTTTAGAAAAACAAAAAGACTTGAAATATGATGAATAGTATAACACAAAAATATCAATAATAGAATTATAAAGTTGAGAGGATATGTTATACATTTGGGAAGAAATAATTTGGTATCAAAATTTATGAATGAAAAGGGTTTTCAAGTTTGTGATAAATAACTAAATATATAATAATGAGGTGCAAATATAAAAAAAAAGATAATGCAATGAAGGCTTAGAAAAATTACAAAAGTCTTGATGATTCATCAAAGAAGATTTTTTTATCCTATTAAACAACTAATCACTTATAACTCCAATAAAAAACAAACTCATTCCAAAATAAAAAAGATTTATATACATATCGCTCGATTCTTATGCATTTAAACATTCAATTTTTATATATATCATTTTATACATGCATGAAAATACATATTTCAGTTTCTAAGAAATTAAATAGTGATATTTTTTTATATGATATGAATAATATGAGTCATATAAATATAAAAAATGTGATGGTATGTATCTGTATGTCTTATAACAGACTTCACTAAGTCATTTCCTTCCTTCCCATTCGTGTGTGACGTAAAAATATAATCCACACGAATCCGCATGCATGCAAACTCTTTGTACCACGTGTATATCATTATTCTATGATAGCTCTGCATGTAATATTCTCTCTGGCCTAACAATGAATAATAATTTTTGCAACAAACACTTCTTAAGCACATTGAAATCCATTAAAAAACTAGCCATTATCAATTCCCCAACAAAAGCAAGAAAAACTCCCACAGGTTTCTCCTTCCAACACAAACATATCAAACACAAAAATATTCAAAAAAAAAAACTTCAACATAAACATATCAAACACAAAAATATTCAAAAAAAAAAAAAATCACATAAATCTCTGCTCAAAAGAGCTCCCCTCAGTGCCACATGTCCTTCTCAAATGGCGTCCACCCATGACTCATTTGCTGGCATGAATAAAACTCATTCTCGAAGTAGCCCCCATTCCCAGAACTCCTCCCACCTGGACACCCAGAATCACCCAACCCTAAGAAATCCTTCGTCATCCCTCCACTCCTCCTCTCCCCCATCTCAGCTCCCAGAAATAATGGACAGAGTGATTCATCACTGAGGCTGCTTCCCGACATATCTGCTGCCCGTTGCAGCAACGCAGAAGCAGACATGAATGAGGAGTCTCCAGAAGAAATCTGTGGGTTAGAAAAGATTAAATTTTCATTGCTGAAATGCATGTGGGAGAGAGATCTCAGATCAGAGGAGGATAGGTCTTGGGGAACCATGGCTGCCAGACTATTATTAGCCATGTAGCTCTCTTCATGCGCCAGAGCTTCGCAGAAGGCTCGGTGAGTTACAAAGCTATCCTTCCTGCAGCGTGAGGGAGAGATACAGCAATGTTAGTATTCTCGGCTGGGCTGAATAAGAAAGGGTCTGTTTGGGGGAAATGCGTGTTTATGAATGTTTTTTGGAATAATGAATGTTGTTTGGAGGGTATTGCATGGCTATGTCATTATTTTTGGGTAACTCCAATAACAAGAAAAAAGATAAGCGCCGAATCTCAGAATATATTGGTAGGTTATTGGGAGATTATTGAGATGTTATCGGGGTCAATACCCCCAATAACTGAGTTATTCGAAGGTTATTCGGGGTCATACGCATGCAGAATTGTGTGCATATTACGTACGTAAATAGGGCTTTTGTTTGGGGAGCTGCAGCTTATCCAGTTTATTCAGATAAATTGACTTGTTATTTGGTTTGTGCGTTTGAAAAATAGCTGATTCTGAAAAAAATGTTCATTATGATATTGTTCTGAATAAACTGTTTAGCTATTTGATTTTTGACTCTGAAAAATAGTTAATTTTAGGCAACTAAATCTGAGAAAGAGACATGAAAAATGAAAATGGTACCTCGAGAAAACGGTTCCGCAGCCACAGCGATAGTCCTTTGTCCCGCAGCTCTTGAAATGCGCCTTCCAATCCGACTGCACCGCATACCTCCTCCCACACTTATCGCACTTCCATTTCTTGTCTCCGTGCTTCCTGGAATAGTGCTTCTTGATTCCGGTCAGATCTCCCAATGCTCGCTTTGGATCATGGTGGGCGCAGGTGACCTCCGGGCACACGTAAACTTTCTTCTTCGATTCGCTGCTGCTTTTCTGCTTCAGCTTCCAAGGCAGATTGTGGCCTCTTCTGTGCAGCTGGAGGTTCTGATCTCTCTGAAAGCCTTTGTGGCACACGTCGCAGATGTAGCGCTTGGTTGCGACTAGGGTTCGTGGAGAGAGAGCTATTACTTCTGCGTCTGGATCTGTTAGGGTAACCATGCATGAACAATATGACACATGCATAAAAAAATTAGTATTTAGATGTTGATATATAAATATATAGGAATTAAATGATATGTATTAATCTTACAAAATTTAATTATGAAGTTTATGAGATGATTTCATTTGAGCTATAAAGTGTAAATAAGGAAATTTTTGTTGTGCAAAAAATATTACTAGCGGTGTTTGTATGTTCGGATATTCAGTCACGGGAGATCACATGAGAGAAGTTCACGTGTATGATGACATGATCTCTCATAATTTATATTAATTTCAGAATTTCAAGGAAGCAAAATAATAATAATAATTCTCCTGTTCTTTTTCTTTTATTTATGTTTTCATCATATTGTGTACCAATGTTAATGATAAAATTGTTGCTCTAGATCATTTTGAGTGAATATTTAGGTATATTTTGCGAATCCTTGTAATTTGAAGAAAGCAAATCAATCGATTTATGTTCGCATTTGATATTTCGGGCTGAATTCTTTTTGTTCCTCGATAAAGTCCTCTATTTGTATCAAGGTTTAATAACCCAGATTTATTGAGAACTGATGGTTAATCCGACTTAAACATATGAAAAATCTTTTTTTTTTTTTTTGATCGTAGATCACTATGAATCGTTCGAACAGACTGTTGAACCTCTAGACAGGCTAACCATAAATTAGCCCAACAAAACCAATTCTGTCCAATCTCAAGTGGCGTAAGGGAGCAACGCTCGCTACTGAGTTTTACGGACTTCAAATCTTAGCTGATTAGATTATTAACCATTATTAGTTTGCTCTTTTTTATATTTTTCATTATTGTATCCCTATTTATCATTTAAATTATAAAAATATATATTTTCTTCAAATCCAATGATTGCCAAAATAGTATTTAACGGCCAATATAATTAAAATTAATACTTTGAAATTTCTACTTCATCAATATAAAGTAAGGATAAATATATGCAGATCATTCGAAACATTGATATTTATAAATTAATCACCCAGATGTTTTTCTTAAACTACCAAACCGAGCAATTAAATCATTTTGTAAAAATAAAAAATATGGGTTGGGATTTTATTCTCTATTTGTATCAAGGTTTTATAACCTAGATTCATTGAGAACTAATAGTCAATCTGACTCAAACATATGAATTTTTTTTTTTTTTTTTTTTTTTTGTCCTAAAACTATTAAACGGTTGAATATACCGGTTGAACCTCTAGACAGGCTAACCATAAATTAGCCCAACACAACCAATTATGTGCAATCTCAAGGGGCGTAAGGGAGCATCGCTCGCTGCTGAGTTTTACGAACTTCAAATCATAGCCTATTAGATTCTTAACCATTATTAATTTGTTTTTTTTATATTTTTCATTATTGCATCACCATTTATCATTTAAATTATAAAAAATATATATTTTCTTCAAATCCAATGACTGCCAAAATAGTATTTAACGACCCATATGATTAAATTAATACTTTAAAATTTCTACTTCATCAATATAAAGTAAGGATAAATACACACAGACCACTTGAAACATTGATATTTATAAATTAATCACCCAGATATTTTTCTTAAACTACCAAACCGAGCAATTAAACCATTTTGTAAAAATAAAAAATATGGGTTGGGATTTTACATAAATTTTGATATTTGAGTGAGAATCTGAAAAAACAAATGAAAGAGAATGATTGATTTGTAAGTAGCAAGTTTCAGGTAATCTATATGTAATTACAATTATTTCAACCTTTATTTTCTAAGAGAACAGTAAGTTCAGAGAACCTGGATTGCCGGGTGGGTTCCTTCTCTTCTTTGTAGCTGAAGCCATCACAGCCATGAAAGTTGCAGGATACTTTGATCCTTCCTCACAAGTGCTGGACATGCCTGAAAGTGCAGCAGTCAGAGTATACTTGAAGCAGGAACAGAAGGCCAAATAATATATATAAACAAACTGAAGCAAGAGGGGATGTTGCAGAGACAAGAGGCCGGACAAACATTCTAATTAGACCAAACTATTCTATTAAACTCTAGCTGCCATTTGAATGCCTCAACAGTGCTATTTTTCATTTATTATACTGAAGATAGAGATGTTCTGTGAATATTTTGTAGCCTTTGTTTGTCTGCTTGCTGGTTTGGTGGAGCGCAGGAGACGTGTGCAGACTAGCTAGATGGGAAATTAAAATATTGAGTGTTACAAAAATGTGTTTTTTGCAATTATTTTGAGGATGTTGAGGAGCTTTCTGAACATATTAGTTGGTTTTAGAAACCAAGACATGTAAAGTAGGAGGAAGAATTGAAGTGGTGGGAATGATTAAGTAGTAAGGCGTACAACTCCTGATAAAGAACAATCTACCTTATCTTGCATCATCGAGACCGACCATGCATGACTTTGAATGTGGTTCGGTGATTTAGATGATAACTCTTTCCAGGCAGGATTGCAACTTCATTCCATATACAAATTAGATGCAAAGTGGATGAATTCAAGTTGTGTGTAGTTTTAGGGCCGGTTTGAGCGTAAAGAAAACAAAGTTTTGCAATTGAATCTAGAATTAACTTTCCATAAGATTCATAAAGGATTTCTCAAGAGTAAGGCTAGAGGGAGGTTTCAAATTTTGGTTTACATTGATCTTGAATGTATTGATGATGATACTATGGTGCCATATGAAAAAGTCGAGGACTTTCTTTGAGGTTACCCAAAATACACATTATGAGAGGCATGGACACTTGAAATCAATCCTAACTTGTAAGAGGTTATCCTACCAAAACTTTTCTTAATGCCTAACTCTTTGACATAGCTTTGAACCACATTATCCATATAAATTCATCTTAAATAAGGGTTGTTGTTGCTTATTGTAAATTAGTGCAACTAAAATTCTTATGAACAGTAATAACATATTCATTGTAATTGTTATTGATTGGCATTCATGTCTCGATACGACAAACTTCCCTAGGACTATCATTGTCTAATTGTATTTAAATAAGTCATCTATAACTGACAACATGATTTGATAGGCAAATGAAAATCTCTTCAAATATGTCTTACTTAGGTCGCAAAATTTCATGCATATATGGATATGAATGATCTTTTTTATTGCAATCCTAACTCATTCTCTTACACTCACCAGTTTTTATTCAGATGTGCCGACATGTTAATTAGTTGGCCAGTCCCCCAACATGCCAAACCATAGTTTTCGACCATCCTCATCCTAAATAAATTAATTCAACTTATCAAGCGAGATAATTACAAGCGATTGAAGATACTTCAGTACCGCTCCACATGTCAAATTACAAAATTTTGCACCCTAATTTTGGAGTCATAAAATTTATGAAATAAAATTGTTAAAAAAAAAAAAAATTGGAGGATTTACAAACAAATCACTCATTTCTTATGTATTTACATACATATTACCTTATCTTTGCTTGAAAATGTGTATGATGTGATATAAAAGATTTGTGAGGAGTAAATGTAAAAAAAACAAAGTTGAGATGTTGGGTATGTGAATATATAGGAATTGGATGGTGCGTATATAAATGCCTCAATATATATATATATATTTAAAGGACAAATTTTTGCAGAAAACAATCAGACTAATTTCCTTGCGGCTGCTCAGCTAGTTATTCTTCAGTTAAAAAAATAAAAGAAGATTATTATTATCATATCAAAAATTTAAAAATAATATCATCATATATTCTATACTACTAAAAAGGGTGCAATATATGAGAAAAAGATGGTGGGCCAACATCAGATATACTAGCTAAAAACTGTTCCAGACTTGAAGGGAAAAATGTACACGGGCGTGCATTGTTTATTAAAAACAGAAAAAAAAATGAATTGTATTGAATCAAACAATTCAATTTCTTGTTTTAAGAAAATTTTATATTTGATTTTCAATTTTCAGATCTATTTTAATATTAATTAAATTAAATAAATGAAGTTAAAAACCAAATAATGCTAGGATTAAAAAATTAAATTCATTTATATGATATATTTATTTTAATTTAATTTTAAAGATACTGCGATTAGAAAAAAAAAAAGGGAAACTTTTAAGTTTGAAACAAAATTTTAAATTTTAATTTGCTCCAAAATTAACAAAAACGTAGTTGATTTGATTATTCAGATTTCAAAAATCAATCTCATTCAATTACTAATCTATAAAAAGATTCATCCAAATTAACCGTTTATGCACCCCTAAAAATAAAGAACATTTAAGAATTACACTTCTCATCAGCCCCTCAAATTAATATATATTCAATATCATCTCTGATTATACATCATAAAAAGATTCAATTTTGCCTCATAATCTCTCTATATATTTTGAGCTCTTTCTATTTTCAAAATACCACTATAATCACGTAACAGTGTTGGAACATAAGTAGTGCTAAATATTACTCTTAATTGATAAAATTAATCTTATTATAAATAAAATCAACTTTATTAATTGGTTTGGGCATATTAAAAGTAAGGCCATTATAAGTAACATCCTTTTTTTTTTTTTCATTCATTAAAGAATGACCAGAGGCTATTATAGGAGCCTCCAGCCACTCCTAATGTGCCTAACAATTCGAGTACCAACCCCTTAAGACTAATTGTGTGAGAAGGGATTCGAACCCTCAACTAGAGGAGAAAATTTTACATCCAGACAACGGTCTGGATGCAGCCAGGAGGGCGGAGGTCTAATTCCTCTCCGCTGCATCCGGGCCGTTGTCTGAATATCCGGTTGTCAGAAGATATTCAAAACCCCGACTTGAGGGGTCTTATACCGTGGATGCCAACCAATAGACTAGAGAAGCGGCTCCTGAGTCTTACTTCTATATCTCGGTACAATATCTCCATGCAAAATTAAGACTCAAAACTTTCACTTCGCAGTATTGGGTTATTCGAAGTGAAATGCATATTTTCATGTAAATCTCTTACAAAAACATTTGTCATGAAAATGTTGTGAAAAGTAAATATAAAAATTAAAGAGTTATTTATGCAAATTGATAAGAAGTTAATGATGCGTCCAAATCCCTCAAATAATAATAATTATAATAAAAGAGTGTATTCCTCATGGAGAATTTTATATGAAATTAATTACAAGACATTTGTCATGATTTATCCTACTCAGCTTCCTCAAGCTTGCTTGTCTTTTGCTCTGTTCTTATAAGAGGATGGGATTCAGCTTAGTCCACGCTCATTGTTCATACTCAGCATGCCACTTTTGATCTTATTCAAACCGACAAAAAACTGAGTTCAACTATTTTATATTCTGTCCAGTTAATTTTCGAGCGATTAACAATCTTCGAGTTAAATTTGTAATATTCAAGGACTGTTAATGATATGATTTCGAGTCGAGCTGGGATCGGCACGAAAAAATTTGATTCAAAATTTTGTCTCGTAGCTCGGCTCTTTTATTTCGATCCGGTCTTAGTTTGAATCAAAATTCAAATTAATTTTCGAGCAATTAACATTTTTCGAACTGAGTTCACAACTCTACTCAACGGGCGAGTAACAACTAAAATAGAGATTCATTTTCATGAGCTTATGGCATGATGGATTTTTAATTTTAATTTTTAAGAATTGGAAGTTATCTAAGAAGGATAGGAATTGGCTAAAAAGATTGAAATCTTACATACATATCATACAATTCTTAGGTATTTATATATCTAACATTTAAGATTCAATATTTACATTTATAACACCTTATTGTCATAAATGTATCCATGAAATTGTGTGTTTAGCTCTTCAAAAATTAATGTTGGTGGTATCTTTGATATGATGTTGAAATTTTGATTATTGTAAAAATAAATATAGAAGTTTAGGTGTTAGATATGTAAATAGATGAAAATTATGGTGTTTCTATGTTAATGCCTCTAATAAAACTAGATTATTTATAAATAAAGTATTGATTATATACTTAACTAAATGCAAGACTTGTTATAGGTATGGAGGGGGCTATTATTAAATATATTTAGACTAAAAAGTTTATAATTTAATTACTCTACTTAATTATTACAGGCTTAAATATGATTATTTAATATATTTTTTATCAATATACTTAGAAAAATGGGTGTGGTTAGGGCTGTCAAAACGGCTCATTGTTAGCTAACAATTCTTGTTCGGCTCGTTAAGAAACTCGTGTTAGGCTCGTTCGCTAAGTTAGCAAGCTGAACACGAGCAATTTTTTGCGCTTGATATATAAACAAACCAAACACAAACAAAGATTTGTCAGTTTCTGTTCGGCTCGAAAATAATTATAATTATAATTATAATTATATATGTGTGTGTATCAGCAATATCAATGAAGGAGCCAAGAAAATAAATAAAAGGAATGGAGCACAAATTAAATTTTTCTAAAAAGCTTTGTCATGATAGAGAGAGTAGTCTCAGATGATTTAGTCATCTTAAATGTCGACCATCAGATAATACGGTCAGGAGAGTAGATGTTTAAGACCTAAAAAGACCGGGGTATGCTTTATAAAAAATGTAGCAAAATATAATGGAGAAAAAGGATTCGTGTAACATACCCCACTTAGTGGGATAAATGTCTCTTGTTATTATTTGCTAAGTACTTCTATGATCTGAGTTCTCGAATCTTGCAGGCCTTGTTAAAAGAATTTTTTGATAAACTCTCGGGTGCAAGCCACTTCTCCTACGTTCCATGATTGGACACTGCTTGTTGTCGTTGCTAGGCTTCATTTCTTGTTGCTGACATGTTTCTATGCTCACCGTACCTTAAAGGATGAAGAATCCAAGTCTCTGGGAAACACACCCAAGAAATATAACATTCTGCTATAAAGTGATTAGAGAGAGCAAGAGATAGAAAGCGAGAGCGCATAAAGAACAATAACATTGAGTGTCCTTTTATTCATGATATGGACCCCTCTTTATAGGCATAAGTCCCAACATTTACATAT